CCTCGGAAATGGACTCAAAGATTGCGATCAAAGAGTTACCGCATTGTGTCAAATGTCACGGACTTCTCAGACCGCATGTGGTCTGGTTTGGCGAACCCCTCGACCCGAGTGTGAGTTTAATTGCTTTTAATATTAGCACTGTTTGTGATGACAAAGAATAACACCATTTAATCCAATGGTCAGGTTCTTGAGGCGGCACAAACTGAGCTGGACAAATGCGATCTTTGTCTTGTGGTAAGTGTTGATTTCAAATTCATGTGAACATTTGATTTCAAATTCATATATTTTTAACGGACAGATCGGCACCTCTTCTATCGTATATCCGGCGGCAATGTTTGCCCCACAAGTGGCCTCTCGAGGGGTTAGTCTCTTGACACACGTTATAAATGGTTTTAAAATTAATTTATCAATTGAATGAACATTTTAGGTACCCGTCGCTGAGTTTAACATTGAGAGCACTCCCGGAACCCATCATTTCGGGTATTTTTAGTAAACTAATGAAATGTTGTCAAACATTAACCGAATGTATTTCAACTAGATTTCACTTCGAGGGCGGCTGTGTCTCAACCCTTCCGCAGGCTATCAGAGCGGTTAAGAACTGATTAATTGGTGAACACTGAGAGACAATCTGTTGTATTTTTAATTCAATTATTTCAACTCTTTTGCCAAACTATTTGTACTCTATTTTTGTTAATTGTTTTTTTAATTACTCGCGAAAGAGAATTATTTTTATGCGAATATTGTTAATGATTTAATCAAATGCTTACCAGTTGTCAAATGAATACCCCATAATGAGAGTCAATTGATTGCTTATTTACAGTAATATTTTACGCTCTTTTGAGTACAAAGTCTTAATTCTATCAAATTTATCCATTTTAATGGCATTTAATTATTTTTTATAAGTTTATTATCAATCAAGTCTATTATAATTGTGTATTGAATTATATGGTCGTTAAAGGGGTTCATAATAAATAATGCTAATTTCAGTCAAATGGTTAGTTTAGTCCAAAAGGGTTTAAACAATTCATTTGATTCGAGCATTTATTGATTTAATCGCTATTTTTATGTCATTTGTGTCAACTGATGATCAAATTAAATGTTGAAAAAAGCAAAATATATATCAAATAAATAGCGTAAACAAAATATTAGTTCATTTTAAGCATATTTTATTAAAAGTAAATTATAAAATACAACTCCGAATGCGGAAAAAGGGATTAATTTAATTGCATTACTTCTTCTTCTCGTCGGCGTACTTGTAGTGCAAGTCTTTGCTGTCCTCTTCGGTGATGATATGCCAACCGTCCTCTTTGATGGTATACACCCTAACGATACCACCGGAATAGGAGTCGCGGTG